ATATGGTGCAACGCGCTACTCCCTAGTTTTGAACTCTGGAATAATGAATGTTTAGATACTCAACCAAACGGTTCTATTCACCACCCGAATGAAATGATTTAGTTTTTCGAACAAGATATCAGTTTCTGGTTTTTAGGCGCATTGGATTCAACCACCAATCTCTAGCTCTATTCGCCCGTCTTTGGCCTTCTTATATCTGCTATTTAAATGATCTAACATTTTAGCATACACGAGTTTCACGGCACCAACAAACTCTCCCCTCCATTTATTTCGAAGCCTACAGTTATTTCACAGTTACTTCCAGCTCTAAAGCGAAGGCTGAGGTGTTCGTAACGAAATTATGATCACGAAATAAATGGTCTGTAACTCGCAAAGTAATTTCCTTGAAGTAGATAAATTGTCAATCCCTGAAGATAGATCCACTATCGTCAGCATAATCCAAGAGCTAACTGTTTACAAACTTAACTCAGTGCGTCTTATCGCCAGAGCACTGAGATTTTTGTTCATCGTGGCTGTAAGGAACCAACTTCGAAAAAGAATCAACCATACCAAGTGGTCTTATCTTAGTATTTCATATCACTTCATAGATCGGCCAAGATTAATAACAAAAGATCTAGAGAACCGAGAAAAGCGATTGTTATCTTACATAGCATTCATTGCAGTAGAGATCAATTCAATTCAATTAATTTGCATTTTTTTTTTCCAGCTGTTAGTTGTTCTGCCTGCCATTTTACTTTTCATGGAAGTCTCGCCAAGTCTCGGATTTCGCCGAGAGTCTCGACATATTTCCCCTGCACGCCTACCAAAAGTCATAACCAAAAGAAGATGCCGGAAAGTGTGGTCTAAACTTCCACCGGTGTCAGTTCGCCGCTTTTTCAGAGATCCAATATGCGTTCGACCTAGCGAAACAGACTTGTTAAAAAAGCTGAAGGATATTGGTGGCTTCAACCCTCGGTACGTGGCAACCAACAGGATACAAGCGAAGAAATTCCCCAATCTTCTTAGAGATATGGACCCTGTGCCTGCTAAACGACCCCCATACAGGCAGACCAAGAACACTTCCACTACTATCACCTTGGTTGGGAGGAAACTAGGAAACGTCTTACCAAAGGTTGCAGGTACTACCGTTAACCAAGAATGCTTTGCTGCAGGTTCCATCGTTTCAGGAAGCGTCTTACAGCGTCTTTGCAGCGAATGCTCAGCCATTACGCAACTTCCAGTTGATGTTTTCCCTCGATTTATCAATGAGATTATCTGCGAGGAAACCGGCATCCAGTTTTGCGGCTCTCCACCTATAGGCCAATGTCAACAAAGGAATTTGCAATTTAGGTTTCTTCGTTTCACAGGAAATTTTATACGAAACGATGAACTTAGTGCGCTACTTGGATTTGATGTGTTTGTCGAAGAGACTGACGATTTTGATCAAAATGTTAGAGGATGTTGCGAGTGCCGTACCTTCGTGGGCTGAACTGATAATATTTAAAGTGCCAGAAACCATAATAAACTATTCTATTTTGCTTAACAATTTTAATCCACATTCAATAATTGCCGAATAAGCTTATGTGATGCTCGGTATATCTTTCAGCGAAGTACTTACAAAAATTTTTTTCATTTTTATTATCGATTAGAATTTACAAGAATAGGTAGTGAAATCGCGTTGCGAATTTCACATGGCAGTGGCGTTTGAAGCGAAAAATTCTAGCTGAAATAGCATCATTTGGTTTCGCCAGAGAGCTTACTCTCAAAATCTCTGCTTTTGAGGAACACGCAGCGAAAGTTTCAGGAATAATGACAGGAACTGCATTGATTTATGGGAATTTCAAAGTACAATGTGATGTAGTGGTTGTCTTAGCAACATGTTATATGCTGATTTTTTATCTAGTGTTCAACAATTATTGTAAAACTAACCATTATTTCTGTGTAAAAGTAAAAGATTGTACTAAACATAAATATTACAAATAATGCTTATGAAAAATAAAGGCTACCACATACGTGGCAATGAAAAGAAGTACTCAAATGCCTTTGCATTTATAAGAAGGTGCTCGGGGGATTACCCCGTCGCCAACGAGAACAGATCTTCGGTTCGATGCTGTACTGATCGATTCTTTTCGGGCGTGGATCCAAGAGCCCTCTTTTCCTAGCAATATAGTCGGAATCAAAAAAAAAAGATACTGAAATGAAAATTAAGTTTAAAGGTAACTAATCGGTTTTTCTTGAAATGATAAAGATAGATTTCCACCATCGAAATTTTTCTTCTTGGTATCATGAACGACACACAATATCGTATCCAGCTCCATTTACGAAGTATTATCATTGAAAAAAGGACCACAATAAGTTTCCGTTACCTTCTAAGTTTAGCAATCGCCAACCAAGTTTTTACACCAATACTTAAATTCTCATTAAAACGTAACGAAATCTTATTCAAATTCATTCGTGAACGTTTAATGAGACATGGATAGGATATCCCTTGGTTAATTAGTTACTAATATTGTGACCTGCTGCTCAGTTTCCCCATATGTACATTTAAAGCCTTCTTTTTATTTTCTCTTTGCTAGACCTCTTCTGCTCTAAATCAATGTTAGCTACCATAGAGTAACGTCGAAGGAGTTGATTGCAGGGAGTATTACTATTGCGTTAGGTATTAGCTTTGGAGCGAAAGCATCCTTTCCTACTTAGATTGTATGAAGTAGTTTTCTCTTCAGGAACGATGTCTTTAGAGAGTGCGAGCCCTGTGAGATCACCTTATCAAAAATGATTCAGTCCGCCCCGTGTCTCTAAAAGGCTTGAAATAATAAAGTGTCACTTTACTTTTATTGAAATAATAAAGTGTCACTTTGCCTTTTATCTTTTTAGATAAACTGATGTTGCAAGCTGCTTATGACATCAGTTTATTTTAAAAAGAGCTGGATTTGTTGTAAGGTCTGATTCAGAGGCTCCATACACTGGAAGGACATATGTCAAAATTGGTAAAACAATAGATCTAAAGACCATTCCTCGCTGACTAAATGTAAAGTCCTAGATCTAAAGTCCATTCCTCGCTGACTGTAGCGTTCTTTCCTGAGAGTTCGCAGAACGTGCAGGTATTTGTTTCCTTTCATTAGCTTCAGTTCAGCTTTGCGTGACAGCTGCTAAATTTACAGTCACTCTGGCTTCTGACCGCACAATGTTTGCAATTTACTCCAACTGCCTCAGAATTAGGCAGTGAAGAGAAAAAAATTTTTTTTCTTCTAGCTTCTCGGTACAAGAAAAGACATTTCTATTGGAAAATACGAGTTAGAAAAGTTAATTAAGAAGTCATAAAGCAATACGAAGCAATATCGGATGATGCTGAGCGTCAAACTTATCGATTCCGTGATGTAAGAGACACAGGAAGTAACCTCAGACAGTACTAGTACCATGATAATTGTAACATTATCTGCGCTACAGCGGTACTCAACCTCTTTTAAATTTCCCTTCACAAGAAAGCAGATACTGCATTTAGGCCAGTAACTCTGCACCAGCCAATGAATACGACCACTTTCGCAAGTAAGGCAGGAAGTCTCGTGGATTGTCATAAAACTTTCCGTTTAACTTGATCTTGACAACACTACGATGTACACTGTATGCTCACTCTCAGTCGTACTATGAATAGAGTGTTCTGTCAGTAAACCAGTAAAACTGTGTTCTAAATAACCCGTCAGATAACCGGTCCAGCAATCCACTGCCGGAAACAGCTATCTGAAGCCCAATTCTTTACGTGGAAAGACTTCCTAGAGGAATCTATAATGCAAACGCAGAAAAACCAGCTTCGCAATTTCATTCAAGTGTCCTAGAATGATTAATTTTAGATTAAAAGTATAAGCTTTAAAGATTTCACTCCTTGTCCTTTTACGATGAGGCAAGGACATATATAAAAGCCGTTGCTTCTCTAAGAGTTAAGAAAAGACGACATCCTATGCAAGAAAGAGACAGCGGAAGTTGTTGCTACAGTTGTTTAATCTGAAACATGCTGAAACTTTCCTGTTATGCTGACAGGCCGATCACTCAAGAATGCAATGGCCAACAGAAAAAAATTTAAATGTATACATATATTTTGGGAGCTGATGCCAAATCAAAATTAGTTAAATCATATTTAAAGCATTTGCAGTCAAAAATTGCTTGCCAAATCCTAGCTATATGTGGAAGACCCCCTGGATGTATCTAGAATGCAAACACGGAAAAACTATCGTAACCTCAAGTGATATTGCATCGACCGTGCGTGCTAATTATTTTTCAGTTTTACATTGAAACACTAAAATAATCTTATTACTCATATCTGTTGTCGATGATGCCAAGTCAACGGAATGAATGAGTTGCCCGTAACTAGATCCCTATCATGCGCAAAGGGTTCTGGGATCGCCCCGGGGCAAATATTGCGAGTTGCTCAGTACAAAGAAATATATGGCGGAAACTTGTTTTGACGTACAAAAAGACGGTTCTGGAGAGAATTCAGCGCATTTTCACAGCCGTTTAATCAGGAAAGGAAGAGAGCAATGTTGATTCGGGGGAAGCGTAAGTTTTTGATCGAATTATTCTGAAATATGCGATAAAATGTACCAATAAAGTTCTATGCATGCGAAAGGTTTCTTATGAAATCGACATCGCGTAATGGTCTCGAAATATTCCAAAGTAAGGTATAAATAAGAGGAAATTACTCAATAAAGAAATTTCAGTTTTATATAAGTGTGAACAGCCTGTTTTTAACATTAGCTAACGTCTTTTATATACGAGTTATGGCTTCCGAAAATCTACCTCCTCAAAAGAGAGAGGTCGTTGTCAGTGGAGATGGAAATTGTTTTTACCGAGCTATCGCTCCCTGGAGGAACGAAATAAGTGATGAGAAACATGAAGAAATCTGCATGTTAAGTTCCAGTTTGATAGAGAGAAATCCAAAATTGTTTGAGCCGCTACTCTTCGCTTCCAATTCCGTGGGGAGTCGTGTCAAGAAAAGCAAGATAGCAAGACCTTGGGCTAAAATTGTGGACACTTCAGCTGTACATCGCTCGTCAAGCGACCCATTTACACGTTCTCGTCGTCGCAGAAAAAATGTTACAATTTTGAACCGAATTTGAACACTGATTCGTTTTCGTCGATCAAATCAAAGAAGTGCAGGTGTCCAATCACTTTAATGTATCACAATGATTATGCTTAAACAAACCATTTTAATCTCCCTCTGCAACTGTGGGACAATACAAGAACAAAAATTGGCACTGTGAGATGAGACACCTTTTGGTTACTGGTAAAAAAATTAAATATGTTATACCAGACAAAAAACTTTAGAAAGTTATCCCCTTACTGATGTACCACTGACTGTTAAAAATTTCATCGATCAAGAAGAATTTAAAGAAAACCAAGGGCAAAATTCTACCACTCAAAAGTCAGTGAAAAACAGCACTTGTTCATTTGATCCTGAGGGGCTTCTTCTCTTTATTGGTAGCAGTTATTCCTGGATAGGAGCAAGTTTAGGTGGTATTAGAAGATTTCATTGTTGTGACCCTTCAGTATATATATTCCCTTAGCTCCGGTTGGAGCATAGGCCATTAACCACTTCCGTCCTCCATCGGGTTCTGTCCTGGGCAAATCTTCCTAAAGTGGCCCAAGTGTGGCCCCAGTTTCTCATTTGGGACTCTACACCTCTTGTGACCCTTCAGTAGTAGAGATAAAATGTCTAATCAAAGGAAAGGACCTTGACCCTAAAATTGCTTTCCTGCTACCAACATTTGGTGAAAAAAAACATTGAAGATGGGAATTACTTTCTTGACAAAAATCACTTACATTATTTCCAAGTTCAGACTGGCATGGCAGTTTCAGGTTTAAAAACTTGTGATTTTGTAACATATAGAAGTAAAGGGATATTTGATGATGATGATGATTCTGATGATGGCAAACAGCCGAAAACGTTTGGTTTAAACCTTTAAATAATTTTTTTTCTTTATCTTTTAGCCTTGTATATATAATATCTAAAGGGATATTTATTGTTACAATTCTAGGAAACTGTTATAGCAACAGTTTACAAGTTTTATTGTAGGCAAATAGTTCCTTCTTTCCTTATGAAAGCCTTATATAGTTACAATTTTCACATAAAACAGTTATCCCAAAGTCAAGAAGATCAACAAAATCACTAAATAAAACTTTTACTATTGCAGTGTGCTCCTTACTTTATGCTTCTTCTACATAAATTAGTGTAAGTAGCACAAACAAAAATAATTCTATCCAGCATTGCTTTAAACAAAAAGGGAATAACTCCTGAAAGAATTCTAGATTGTTTTAATTTCAAAGTGTTACTCTCAACATGAGTATGTAGTGCTACCACGCAACGGGTGTGTGTATTCTTTTTGGCTGACAGACGTTGTCCTCGACGGTAGGCTGGTGAAACAAGGTGGAATTTCTTAAGTGTTATGAGATCCCAAATCACAAAACCCTTGTCAGGCATGACTGCATCCCCCTCCTCAAGCAAATCCAGCAGTCCACTTTGCCTAACAATTTCTTTATCACTGATGGATCCTGTCCATAATGGTGGAATGAAAGATACTACACCAATTGCCGTTATTTCTACTAGTAATTTAGCATTATTATTCAACTACACTTCGTAGTGTACAAATAACGCCATAGAC